AGCCTTTCTGTGGGAGCACAGGGAGGGTCAGGGACAGGGAGTGAGGGGCAGGGGGCCGGGGGTCATCACTGGGGGTGCCTCACCTTGGGGATGGGCAGGGACAGGTCCCAGAAGGGGTCGAAGGCGGTGGAGCAGTAGCCACACTCGCTGCAGGTCAGCGAACTCTTCAGCTGCCCAACGAAGAGGTCTGGGGGGGTGGGACAGAGCAGGGTGAGACCCCCAGTTCCCAGCCCAACTCCCAGCCCTGCCCTGCCCTCCTGTCCCCCCAGCCCTGCTCACCGCTGATGCGGCTGTCCTCCCTCTCCTGGTACCTCCTCCACATCTGCCGGCTCTTCTCGTCGTCACTGCAAGGGGTGGGGAGACACACGGGGAGTGAGCGTGGCCTGGAGGATGCCGGCCCTGCCACCCAGCCCAGAGAGACCCGTGTGGTCACTGTCCCTAGGCTGGGCTTGCAGGCAGCGAGCTCGTCTTACCCAGTTCCTCCACCCCAGGCAGCACTTACGGGAGGTGGTCCAGGGTGTCCGTGCTGGCCCGGGGCCGCACCAGCACACGGTTCACCTCGCTGTGTAACCCATCCAGGAGGAACCGCAGGAATTCCTGGGCATCCTGCTGGCTGCAAGGCATGAGGCACTGCCGGTGAGTGGCAGCAGGGGGGGCTCAGCTCCCCCCACCACCGCTGCGCCCACCCCCCCTTACTTGTAGCCGACGAAGCGGGGGGCGTATCTCTGGATCTGCGTCTTGAACTCGGAGGGGCTCACGCTTTCGTTGGGGGACGAGGTCCAGAGCAGCTGGATCAGTTTTGCAAACTCTGCGGGCAGAGAGGCAGGTCAGCCAGCTGGGGTGGTGTGGCATCGCTGTGCCCCCCCGGGGCAGAGCTCAGCACCCCGCCTGGGGGTCCCTGCACCCGATCCTCCCCCTGGCTGAGCACCCACAGCACAGCGCCCGCCCCAGCAAGGCTGGGGAGAAGCACCGACCTCGGGGTGGGTATCCCCAGGATTTGGGGCATCCCGGGGGGGGCGAGGATGTGCTGCAGGGCTGTGCTGCGGGGCTGTGCTGCAGGGGAGCCCCCGCAGTGCCCAGGGGCCGGCGATGGACACTCACCTGACATGAGCGCCGTGCGCATGCGGCTGTTGTTGTTGAGGTCCCGCAGGTACTGGTTCTGCAGGCAGTAATCCCGCAGCTCCTTGGTGTTGCTCAGGCACTGCAGGATGGAGTTCATGAAGCACTGGGGGAGGCAGAAGAGAAAACCATGGCAACGGGAAGCAGAGGGAGGGAGGCGGTGGCAGGGGGACACCTGGGGTGGGTGGGCAGAGGATGGATGGGGACAGAGCAGCGCAGAGCAGGGGAAGCTCTTCCTGCAGGGAGCTACCAGGGTGACAGAGTGGGTGCTGGGGAGCGAGGAGGAGGGCCAGGGCTCCCCCCTACCCCACAGATGTGCACGGGGTGAGCTGGGGCCGTGGTGCCTGGGCACACACTCACCGTATTGCCGAGGTTCCGCAGCCCAGTCAGCCCCTGCACCGCCTTGGAGCTCTGCAGAGAGAGGGAAGAAGGCTGAGATGGTGCTGCACTGGCCATGCCACAGACATGGTGCCGCAGACACCCCCATGGAGCAGACCCT